CTATTTCAGGGCAAAACTAAGCAGATAATCACTGTACCCATGAGAAAGGCTTGGCTGGTTGGGGCTCTTTTAAATCTTGTATGTGAAAAAGCAAACATAATTTAAAAATAAACAATGGGGTTTTCGGAGCCAGCAGATTTCAGAAGGGAATTCCTGCAAAAGGAGGGGTGTAGTGGGGTGAATGATGAAATTACAGCTCACCCGGTAGCGTTTTGGGAACGGAATGGAATGAAGCAGCTTGCTGGGAGGATGTTCTCTATGGCCACAGGTGTTTACAGAATGCGAGAGACAACTGGGGTCTAGAGCAGGTCTTCTGGCACAAAGGTTTTGAGTTATATTGATATTTGTCGGTTACTATGACTTCTTTTTTTTGTTTGTTTTTTTTCCCCCTTCAATTGCATCATACCCTTAAAAAAATGGTGGTAAGTGAGAGATCTGCATGCTTTGGAGTTTGTTTAACCTCCGCTTCAGTCTATACAATGCACAAGTCATAATGTTAACACTTTTTCTTAAACCTTCTTCATTCACGTTCACGACTAATTTGGATTTCAGTTTGCTGTTTTTTTATTTTAATCTTGATTTAGTCTAATTTTGTACTTTTTTTTTCTGTTGTTCTGTTGCCCCCTGGTTTCGCTAAGGTTTCGGTCTTTGTCTGTACTGTTCAGGGGATGCTTTTCCAGCGGTTAAATGGCTGACCAGGATAATAACACACAGAGATGTTTTCCTCGGTCTTATTTTATCTCATTTCGGGTTATAGATGGGAAAGAGGTGGTGATCCACCTTATAAGAAGTATTTTAATAGGAGTGTTGTACCTTTAGGAGAAGGGCAGCCTTTATAAATGTGACACTCTGTAATTTTTTTTTTTTTTTACATGCTCAAAAGTACTTACCTGAAGTAGGCATCTAAATATTCTAAGGGAGAAGGGAAAATGGTTATTTTTGTAGCGAGAGAGCGCTTGTAACGGTGCACTTTGATATTTCTGAAGTCCAGCCAAACAAACTCTCAAAGATGTCGATTGTGCTTGTTAGAAAGCTGAGATGAGTGCTAACACTGAACGGCACGGGTAGCAGCGCTGAGCCGGGTGTGTGTGGGGGGATTAAGGGCTCGCTGTCTGTCCGAGGCTTTTCCCACCCCGCGTGCAGTCCGTAGCGCAGAACGCTTTTCAGATCTTTTGTGAAGCAAAAGATGTTGGGCGGAGGGAAGCTGTAGGTCTACTCTGCTGTGCTTTGTGTTTCAGTACCTGATGTGTCTCTGTATATCTCCACTGTATATACAACAGCACATTGATGTCTGGTTGTCCTTACTAGTCCTAGTTCTCTCTGTATCTTGTCCAAGAGCGTACTGTTGCTGGTAATGGACTTCTGTGGACACTGGTGTGTCGCTAGTCTGTTATTTTTGGCTGTAAAACTCTTGGTTTGTGGTTAGTTCTTTAATTTTTTTGAATTTTTTTTTTTTTTTGTTCCGGTCACTGTCTGTGCTAGCGGTGGCTTTGCCTATCCGTTGCCTTGAAGGTACCAGGTGGAGTAATGTCCCCTTTGACCGACATTACTCCTAGCGTGTGCTCATGCGGATGCCTACACTGTTAAGACTGTAATTTCCATAACTGCTTCATGTGCACTAAGCACCCTTGTGGAATCCTGCTGAGAGTTTCTTAAAGACTTCAGTGAAAAAGGTGGGAACGGCAACTACTGAGTGCCAAAAACAGCAGGTCCTGATTTGGTGTGTCTCCCCCAAAAATACTTCTACAGGAGCGTTAACTTTCTGCATTGATTTTTGTACTGCTGTTAAAATGCATTTCTGTCTTTTGTGCTGCAGCCTGAGAGCAAAACAAGGTGGTTTTTAAATTATAATTTAAAAAAAAACAAAACCAATTGGTCATGAAAGAGCAAATATGAAATATTACTCATTGGCGGATCCTTTCCCAATTCTTAAAAAATAGTTTTGCCAAGAAACACAGGCACAACAATGCTGACAGTCTTCTGTAGCTGAAGTCTGTTGTGTCTAACAACACCCTGAATATTTCCTGGCGTTTTGAGCCTCGTGCTCTTACCGGATGCACGTGCAATGCCTGCCTCTATCCAAGGACTGTGTTTGGATACTTGAATCCAAGTATTGCACCTTCAGCCTCCTCCTAGCCTGGTCCTTTCTATTTAGACGTTGAGAGAAATGGAATAAGTTGAGGTTGCGTCATTCATGGGGGAAGAGGAGCATATGGTGTATATACCCTGTTGTGTATATACCCATAATTACCCATCAGCAGTGGAAGAATGGCTTAAAAAAAAAAAAAAGAAAACAACCAGCAGGATTTTACAACTGAAATGTTGGTTTGTCTTCTCATCTATTTTTTATGAGATTGAACCACTGGAACTTGGGGACAAGATGAATCTGACCATATTGCAACAATCTGTCCACTACAGTTGCAGTTCTTCATGACAAGCATTCAAAGTGTTAACTTAAACCATTGAAGCAACATACCTGCCATTAAAACTCGAATCCAGAAAAATAACTCCATGAACCTTTGCACTACCAAATGGAATGGCCTTTAATGCTCTAGATAGATTGGTTTGTGGTTCAGGTGGCGTACGGTGCAAAGACTGACTCTCTTTTTTTCTCTCCTTTCCTTGTTTTTCCCTGGATTGCGTTGGAATTCTTGCTGCAGATGATGAACCAGCTGGGCCAATGTAAGTGTATTTTAAGAAAAAAAAAATTCTTGAGCTTAATTTGAGGGTTTATGGGAGTTTAGAGTAAGACTGATATTAAGTGTGATGTTACTAAGGGTAAAGGACCCTTTGGTTTGTTGTTTGTGCTAACTGTTGGAGTAAAGAAACAACACAACTCCTGTTGTGTTTACTCTTGGAGTGAAGAAAAGTGCTATCTGCAGGGTCTTGGCTAGAAAAACAAATATTGCTGAAGGAGTGAGAAACAAGTATTTGTGCTGAAGGCACACACCTGGTCTCCCTGACTGCCCGGTACAACCAATTTTATATGCTTCTTACAAATATCAT